GCCCCTCTGAAAATTCTATCCAAACAGACTCTGTATGTGTTTACTCAGACTTAATACCCGTTTTTATGGCAACAGTTCAAGCGATCTCAGACATACAATGCCACCCCACCCCCTTCCCGATACTTCTATCTACTTGGAACAATTTAAAAACCCTGAATGTGACATTCTGCGGGCATGTCCCGACTTTTTGAATTAAACCACGCCCTCAGTAATGGCAAATAAAATCTATGTTACCTGCACTAGCAACTAGTCTCAACTCGTCCATCTTATTCCTACCCACTGCGACTATTTGTGTAATAAATATTTAAAGACCCTCCTCCTCTTTACCCTTCCTGCTCCTTTCTGTTATTCCACTAAACCTATTACTGTCCTTGTCAATTAGTGCCACTGGCTTTCCATTTTCCACCTCATTTTGCCTATTACTAGTTCTCCCTAGTACTCATATTACTACCCTGAGACTTCACAGTTTTTCCCCCGCAAAAACCCATACCACTAACTATTCCTAGTTAAAGACCTAACAGCTCCCTCAACTGCGTTGGCCAGTGCTCCAACCCCACACCTAGATAAGTGAACCCCATCCCTGGCATACATGTCTTTCTGCCATAAAAAGGGTCCCATTGTCAATGAATGTTACCGCTTTTTCCTTACAGTATATGTCCAGCCAGCAATTGACACCAATTGCTCTGGACAACCATTCATTCCAACTCCTCTCCTTGCAAAATGCCACATATGACGGGTTTCCCACCCTTCCTCCTAATTATCTCTATTGCTGACCTATACCTGCTAATCAGGTCCTCACTCCTATGCTGCCAACATAGTTGCCTCCAGCACGAGACAGATAATAGGATTGCTCCCATTACCTCTCATGATGTCATCCGGACGGCTAACAATATCCTTCATCCCAGCCCCAGGAAAACACCCCCTCTCTGCCTCCTACTCCTGTCCTTCAAGCAGAACGCCCCATCCATGTAACCTAATCTGGCTATCCCCAACAACAACGTTTTTAACCTTCCTTGGGGTCGTCCGTCGTGATGCTCCGAGTAGTCGACTCGCATTTCGCCAGGTAGCATTACACCCTTGTAGAATTCGTCAAGACGTTCTCATGGTCTTCGTTGGGGTTTCTAGGGATGTCTCACTCACGTCTGCCAATGCTTCTTTGGTGCTCGTTGTGGCATTCCCAGTAGAACACTCACATTCATCGGGGAGCACCGAGAATGGGTTGGAAGTTTCCACGGAGTCTTCTGGTTTCGTCTTGTTTCTGCCTCTCCAACCGTTTTCTTGATCTTCAGCTTGGTTCCATGTTGCCCGGCCACTGACCAAGCTTCCCCCCTTAACCTGGGACTCCAAAAACAGGAGGATTACTATGAATCCTCTTTTTCTCCTCCGTTAATCGCCGTATTTCCATTTTAGCAACTCTGAGCTCTTCTCTCAGCTGCTGGTAAAGTTGCTCTTGGCCTCCTGCAGTTCTGTGGTGGATTATAATCACTGCAATGACCACTTTGTGTTCCCCCGACTGAAGTGTACCTGCTATGTAGTCTCTTTCTCCGTCTCATCTATTCCTTCCATTTTCTCGAATTTCCATCTGTTTTTTAAAGAGCAGAGCAACCCCACCTCCCCCCCTGCCCCTTCTAAACTTTCCTCATGATCTGGTATCCTGGTGGGAAGATTGCATCTGTTATTGTCTCCGTGAGGTTTGTTTCTGTAACTGCTATGATTTTCTGGGGACTTCTCATTGATTCTTTCTTGCCATTCCTCATGTTTATTCGTTAATCCTTGCATTTTTGTACCAAACCTTCAAATTCTGGGTGTGTGTGACCAACAAAAATTTTGCACCAAAAACTCATTACTTGTGACGGGGGGGAAGTGTGAATTGCTCATTACTCTATAATTTTTCATGTTGTACCCAGATAACGTAAGTAACCATTCTTACAGAATTTTTACCTTTGTACCTATTCAGCTATCAAAACTTGGGGCCCAGTCCGGGACCCAACGTACCTCGGTAACTGAAAATCCTTTGTAACTTGTCGATTGTGACCAACCTCCCGGGAGTTCATTCCTTGTAAATTTATTTCTTTACCTTTGTAATTTGGGTTCATTCCTCTGAACTTGCTCAGCTATCAAAACTTTGGAAATCCCCGTCCTGGGCCAATTTTGTACCTAACCCGGGTTACCTGGAGAGAGTTCCGGGGGGCAACCCCCGCGGGCCCTCTGAACCAGGCCCCCGGTGGATCAGAGCCTATTTAACCAGGTTTGCTGCTGGCTCCGCAAAAACCCAAATACAGCCCCACCCGGCTGATCCGGAACTACTTTTTGGTGCTTGTCCGGGCCCGCTTGAAGACTGCCAGGGGTCTGTTTGGGAATCCCCCCCTTTTGGCTGGGGGGCAGTTGAACAGTCTCGGGCCCCTACACTAGTATGGTCCTTTAAAGTGCAGTGACACCCCCGCTTTTTATTGGGGGGATGGGGCATCGTCTGCCAAATCTTTTTTTTTCTAGGGGTATTTTCGTGTCAAAATTTTTGGGACTATCCCTCAGGATTTTCCGGTGTATATAATATGTATCTCTCCCCCCTGCTTTTCCCGGGATACAGGGTTTTGGAAACCCCAAGCGCTCCCAATAATTGAGGTTTTTATCTCCTTAGCTGCCCGTGAAAGTTTTCTTACATTTTTTAGGTCGCAATTTTACCTGCCTTTAAAAAGGGGCTGTTTTGTGGCACAATATTCCAGCCTAGATAGAAAAAGTGACCCGAAGAGTTCAATTTTGGGTTGCCTCCCTGTTTTGAAGGTTCTCATTATCCACCCGTCATTTTTTCTAGAAGCATTTTAACAATGTTTGGTCCTTAAGGGTTAATCCCCGACTATCACTCCCAGGTCTTTGATTGGTGTTTTGCTCTATTTTGTGGCCAAATTTGTTTTGTACTCGATAAAGATTTAATTTCCTCATGTTTACCATATCTGAGAATTTGAAATTCTCATCGTTGACTTCATATGTTTTCTGCAGCCCCCGAAAATTTGGTTTATGTCGCCTGGGCTTTGGGGAGTGCTGCAATGGGAAAAACGTCATGCAGATTCGGGGTATTGCAAAGGAAGACACGGGCTGTGGGTGAACCCCGTAATCTTTTGACACCGCCCACAGGGTGGGTAGGGGTGCTAATAAAAAATATTAAACTAACGTGGGCTCCCCCTGAGTGTTTACGGACTGTCTGTGGGTTCCGCTGAGGTGTATATATGGGCTTCTGTGGCTTTCCCAATGAGGGGTAATATAGGGCTTCTGTGGCCTGACTGAGTTTAAATAAGGACTGTCTGTGGCTCCGCTGAGGTGTATATAATGGCTGTTGTGGGGTCCGATGGGTTATTTTATGGACTGCGTGGGGTCCGACTGGGTGTATATATATAAAATGTCTTGGGGTCCCAGATGTTATAAGGACTGTCTGTGGTTCCGACTGAGGTTCAGAGAACCGACAAGTTGATAAGTAGACACATGTCTAACACTTGGGTATCTGTATTCTGGTAGTGTGTCGCCAATGGTGATGTAATATGCATGGAGAAATTCCTTCACAAGATACCTAAGTGTTGTACATGTGTCTGATTTATCACATAATGAGGAAGGACCCACATCCTGCCTTGATATTATGAAGATGGAAATGGTAATCGATAGACATGGTGGACAGGAAGGTTGTAGTACTGGGTGCTGAGGAACTGGTAATCGACCCAGACCACTTGGTTGTGAGCCAGGAAGGTTGTAGCTACTGGGATAGCCTGAGGGGACCTGGTAATCGAACCCTAGACCACTTGGTTGTGAGCCAGGAAGGTTGTAGCTACTGGGATAGCCTGAGGGGGAACCTGGTAATCGAACCCTAGACCCCTTGGTTGTGAGCCAGGAAGGTTGTAGCTACTGGGATAGCCTGAGGGGACCTGGTAATCACCCTGACCACTGGTTTTGAGCGAAGTTAGCTCTGGGATAGCCTAGGACCTGGTATCGAACCCTAACCCTTGGTTGTGAGCCAGGAAGGTTGTAGCTACTGGTAGCCTGAGGGGTGTAATCGAACCTAGACCCCGTTGTGAGCAGGAAGGTGTAGTACTGGAAGCTGAGGGGACTGTAATCGAACCCTAGACCACTTGGTTGTGAGCCAGGAAGGTTGTAGCTACTGGGATAGCCTGAGGGGACCTGGTAATCGAACCCTAGACCACTTGGTTGTGAGCCAGGAAGGTTGTAGCTACTGGGATAGCCTGAGGGAACCTGGTAATCGAACCCTAGACCACTTGGTTGTGAGTCAGGAAGGTTGTAGCTACTGGGATAGCCTGAGGAGACCTGGTAATCGAACCCTAGACCACTTGGTTGTGAGCCAGGAAGGTTGTAGTGCTACTGGGATAGCCTGAGGGGACCTGGTAATCGAACCCTAGACCACTTGGTTGTGAGCCAGAAGGTTGTAGCTACTGGGATAGCTGAGGGGACTGGTAATTGAACCCTAGACCCCTTTGGTTGTAAGCAGGAAGACAGTACGTAAAAATAAGAACTTTAGAATGGAAGAACACTGCAGGAGGCCTACTGGTCTGGACTAGGCAGGCCCTCCTGGGATAGTCTGAGAGAAGACCTACCCTGATGCTGAGAGTAAAACCATGACCTGCTTCAGTGTATGAGGACCTACCTGATGCTGAGAGAGTAACCATGACCTGCTTCAGTGTAATGAGGACCTACCCTGATACTGAGAGAGTAACCATGACCTTCTTCAGTGTATTGAGGACCTACCCTAATACTGAGAGAGTAACCATGACCTGCTTCAGTGTATTGAGGACCTACCCTAATACTGAGAGAGTAACCATGACCTGCTTCAGGTTGTATTTAGGACCTACCTAATACTGAGAGAGTAACCAGACTGCTTCAGTGTATTGAGGACCTACCCTGATACTGAGAGAGTAACCATGACCTGCTTCAGTGTAATGAGGACCTACCCTGATACTGAGAGAGTAACCATGACCTGCTTCAGTGTACTGAGGACCTACCTAATACTGAGTAGAGTAACCATGACCTGCTTCAGTGTATTGAGGACCTACCCTGATACTGAGAGAGTAACCATGACCTGCTTCAGACAGTCTGATGAGGTAGGCTCCGCTGGTATTTATCCTGTTCAGTAGCATCTGCTCGGCCTGTATCCGGGAGATGTGGCCGAAGTACCAGCTGGAAATACAAGTTGTAGGTCAGTGACAGGTCACAGGTCGTTACTGGAGGACACACACACACACACACACAGAGGAGCCGTAACTCGACCCCTGCAACCACACACAGATAAGTACACTTACTCCTGACATTCCAAGGAGGAGGAAGAAGCGATGTAGGGGACAGGAATGTAACCTTCCTCTCCTGTACGTATCAGCCTCGCCAGCCACCATTCAGAATCTCTGAAACATAACAGCAATACTTTAATTATTATTATTTATTATTATAATCAAGGGGGAAGCGCTAAACCCGGAGGATTATACAGCGCTGGGGGGGGGGATGTGGAAGGCATTCAGGCTTAATTCGGGGAACTGGAGCACAGATCCAATTCCTTAAATCAAGAGCCCCTCACCAATATCAAGGAACCTTCCTTGAGGGGATATGACCTCAGAGCCAACAGCTGTACACCTTCCCTGGGCCCAGGAGCTGTAACAGTATAGGGGTAACAATAGATCCACTGTTACAGCTCCATGGCTCGGGGAGAGAGAGATTATTATTATTATTATAATCAAGGGGGAAGCGCTAAACCCGTAGGATTATACAGCGCCCAGGGGTGGGGGGATGTGGAAGGCATTCAGGCTTAATTCGGGGAACTGCAGCACAGATCCAATTCCCTAAATCAAGAGCCCCTCACCAACATCAAGGAACCTTCCATGGCTCGGGGAGAGAGAGAGAGAAGCAACACACCAGTGTTTCCTCTCATATCTTAGTGTTAAATAACACTAAGTGTTGACGCAACACATCCTGACGGTGTCCTTACGTAAGTCAAGTTGAAAGTAGGATTCTTTTTTTTTACCAGTGGAAAGCCGCAGGAAAATTTCTGGGCCTATAAAAATCCCCAAAAAGTCTCAGATTTGGATCACCATAGATAGGTTCACTTCGGGTTATCATAATCATGGGGGAGCGCTAAACCCGTAGGATTATACAGCTTATGTAAGGGGGGGGATGGAAGGTATTCAGATTCAGTTCAGGGAACCGGAGCACAGATCCAATTCCCTAGATCAAGAGCCCTGACTAGCATCAAGGAACCTCCCTTGAGGGGCACTTCAGCTTAGGTCTGTCTAGTGTAGTAAGGCACTTAGAGCTGTAACTCGACTCGTTTGTGTGGCTAATTATTAACTAATATACAACTGGGGGCCCCGTGCCTGGTAGGCAATGCTCTGGCTTCACACGCTGAGGGTCCGGGTTCAATCCCCGGCAAGGGTGAAACCATGGGACGTGTTTCCTTACACCTGTTGTCAGTGTTCAACAATCACTAAAATAGGTACCTGGGTGTTAGTTACCTTACACCTCCTGTCAGTGTTCACCTAGCAGTAAGTAGGTACCTGGGTATTAGTTACCTTACACCTGCTGTCAGTTCACCTAGCAGTAAGTAGGTACCTGGGTGTTAGTTACACCTGCTGTCAGTGTTCACCTAGCAGTAAGTAGGTACCTGGGTATTAGTTACCTTATCTCAGTAGTAGTACCAGTTCCAGTAACCAGTGTACCAGTAGATGACTCACTACCAACCGTCTCTGCGTGAATCACTGTCTGTATTCATATTGTTGCTGACCACAGCAGTATTCAAACACCCCCCTCACATATGGGTACTGGAGTTAGTCAGTCTTACGAGAGAGAGCAAGGAGGCAGGTCACGGCTGTTTGGCGCTACCCACACTATCCGTAATATACGTACTTCCAGCCTACGTATTTCTTTACCCTATCCACGTGTTTGAACCCCACATGATAAATGGTGGCAACGGTGTGGGAGCATGGATTTAAGCTTTTTAAGGGTATTTCAAGACGTTAGAAGACTGTTTGTGGGGAGCTGGTGGATCAAAGGTGAACCGTAGCTAGCCGCTTACCCTCACTCACCACCTCCACCCTGTACTCCAGCCTGCAAGCCTGTTGCAGCTGTTTTTCAAGCTTCCTGGCTTAGTTCGTGTGCTAATTGCTTCAATCTCCGAGGGGTTGACCCGGATTTTGCAATTAAGCCAGTCAGTAAGCCAGACTGTGGAAGTGAACGCCAGTCAGCCTGTCATCCACCTGCTCCTTCATGCTGTGTGCATCGTTACCCGTCTTCCAGTCAGCCATTCTCGTGGGTTAAGCCAGTCACCCAACCCAGCTTCTAACCCAGCTGAGAGAGAGAAGTAAGCCACGCAAGTTCCTCTGAAGTATTGTCTCATATATCGCTTTGTGCTCCCTGTTGGATGCTAAGAGTGAATTTCACCATTCCTGTGGCATAGAGTGGCTTATCAAGCCACCTTCGTGGGTAGTGAGTGGAGTGCGCGCCAGTGAGCGTCACTCCCACCACCACCCATCCACTCTACTCACACCACCAACGCCACCCACCTCATCTACCTGTGGTTGTTTGTACCCTTGTACCGGGTCCTAATACTGTTTTGGCTCACATAATTGGTCAAGATTGTAGCTGAGCGCCAACGATAAAGCCAGTTATGTGAGTTCACCGAGAAAGCGCATTTCTTCCAACAACAGTGAGTGTAGGAGGCGTCAGTCATCACTGTGCAGGACAACCTTCGACAACCTACCCTCATCACCAGTCATCACCGTCGACTACTACAGACTTCAGTGATAATTTTCTGTTTAGAGACATTTTTCTTGCATTTAAAGACATTTGCGTGTGTGTGAGACATTTATAGTGAATTTCTTGTGTACTCTAAGCCTTGTGTTTTCAGTGTAGACTCAGTGTTTCTTTAACTCATTATTTTTTGCAATATTTTTCAGTGTTATTCGCTCATCTCATATTTTTTTATCTGTTTTATTTTATACTACTCTCTGTCTGTAGTAAGTATTATTGTGTAGTGTACCAGTCAGTCACTCTGTGTGAAGTGATTCATTTTTTTATTGTATTCTTTCAGCATTGTATTCTCCAGTATTTGTCACTGTAGTTCATGCAGTGATATTCACCCCAGTTTACCAAATTATCCATTTATTTCTATGTGTCTTTTTTCGTATGCCAGCAGTGTCTCATTCCTCTAATTTTTTTCGCAGACTGTGTACCATTATTTTTGCCAGCAACTTTTTGTCGTATCAGTCACAGCAAGATTTTGTTGTAAGAATATACTAAGATAATGAATATGTGATTAAGTGTTGTGTGCCCTGCCACTTGTAAGTGTTGTGTGCCCCGCCACTTGTAAGTGTTACNCCATTTTTAACTTCCAGTTTTGTTTCTTGTTTTATTTTTATTCATATTGTTCATATTTCTTTGAACAAATTCACTCTTGATGTAATTTCAATTACTTTTAACGTAAAGTGTTTTCTTTACTCTGAGTAAATTGTTTTGTCTAATTTACAATTAAGAGTTAAAGTGTTCAATCAGTTTTTCTTCATATTTTTATTTTATTATTTAACCTGAGTTTTCCCAGTGAGACTTTATTACTGCAGTGATTATTTCTACACCTTATTTTGTTGCACTGTTCTGCAGTGAATTATTTTGTTGCACTTGTTCTGCAGTGAATTATTTTGTTGCACTTGTTCTGCAGTGAATTATTTTGTTGCACTTGTTCTGCAGTGAATTATTTTGTTGCACTTGTTCTGCAGTGAATTATTTTGTTGCACTTGTTTTTGCAGTGAATTATTTTGTTGCACTTGTTCTGCAGTGAATTATTTTGTTGCACTTTTTCTGCAGTGAATTATTTTGTTGCACTTGTTCTGCAGTGAATTATTTTGTTGCACTTGTTCTGCAGTGAATTATTTTGTTGCACTTGTTCTGCAGTGAATTTTGTTGCACTTGTTCTGCAGTGAATTATTTTGTTGCACTTGTTCTGCAGTGAATTATTTTGTTGCACTTGTTCTGCAGTGAATTATTTTGTTGCACTTGTTCTGCAGTGAATTATTTTGTTGCACTTGTTCTGCAGTGAATTATTTTTGTTTTGATCTTTTTATGAATTATTTTTTTGCAGTTTCATATTATTGTCACATGTTCTTTATTTTATTACTTGTTCTGAGTGAATGTCTTTCTTTTATTTTATTTTTGTTTATTGCAGTTCATTAGCAATTATTTTATAATTTTCCTGATGTTATCTCTTTGCATTTCAATTTAGTATTTTTGTTTATACATTTTATAAAATTTAAATTTCCATATTTTCATCAAGTTAATTCCTTTTTAGATGATTAAATATTATATTCCTTTTTGCAGTAAATTCAGTCTCCATTTAATAGTTCTTTATTTTTACTTGTAAATTTCAATGTAATTTTTTTTTCTTGGCCAAAAGCCTTTACATTGAGTTTTCCTTCCCCTTCGTGTATCTTAGACATTTTTTTATTACTTCTGCAGAATTTGTTACATCTCTTTTATTTCAATTTT